TATTACAGGAGGTGGCAGAGGGTGGCAGAACGGCCACACTGGCCTCCAACACCTGCTGGGCCATTTACCCTCGAGACGGGATGACCAGGACGCCCCCAAACCTCACAGAGCTGGGCTGCCTCTTTTGTCAAGGGGGGAGAAGGCACCGCCACCAGGCAATCGTAGGGGATCCTGAGCAACGCCACCAAGGCGGGCACACACAGTCGGCAGCGAGCCACCACCAGGAAACAGCGGCGCCGGGAAGCAGGGACAATGGCTGCTGGTTTACAGACAGGACACTGGGCTCAGAGAGGGAAGTGACGAGTTCAAAGTCACAGAGCAACGAGGCCAGGAGGTGAGCACGTCATGGGATCTGAGGGTGCGGGCGGGGGGGAGGGGTGGTCAGACCTCAGCGGGATGCCACGTGTCACCCCGCGTACTACCAAAAGAGAAGCAAGTGAGGACACCGCCCTCACCCAGGCCAGAGTTCACGAGGCCTCAAAGGGAACTTTCAGGAATGTGAGAGTCAAAGGAAATCAAGAAAGCTCTGAAATCCCTGGGAAGGGCGCCCCACCCACTGCATGTCTGGGAGAAAGTGGACAGCAGAGGCGTGGCTGGGTGCACAGCACGGAGACGCCCAGGGCACCCCCGCGACGGGCCACAGGGCCCCTCGGTGGGTCAGGCGGTACTGACTTGGCCAGGAAGGGTGACTCAGGGTTTCTAGGAGAGACAGGAAGTGAAACAGAGAGGCTGGCTCTGCTCACTGGACAGGGTGTCCCCGAGGCCAGGTGGTCGGGGGAGCCCAATGGGAATCCAGTGAACTCAGGGCGTTCCCAGGGCAGGAGCGGGGAGGGAGGCCGGCAGGAGAGCTGCTCCCCGGAGCAGCCACAAGGCATCGCTGCTCTCAGCGGCACGGGTCCAAACGAAGTCCCGCCTGGCGCTGGGGCCACCGGAAGGGCCCGAGGTGAGGGCAGATGCAGAAGGCAGCCACTCCAAAGCCTCGCGGAGGCCGCCTGCCACCGGACGTTCGAGAAAGGTCCAGAGGCTCACGTTTCAAACTTGAAAGAGCAAAGCCAAGATCCAGAAGATAAAACAAGAGAACGAACGCTGACAGGATGCCGCTGTACACACAGCACCTCCCACGTGGGCCTGCCATGAACTCACCTCACGAGGGAGGAACCTAGGCAGCCCATCCGAGGCCACCGCCACCCCAGAGGTCCTGGCGGTGCAGGGACCCAGAGCTGCAGGTCTCGGTGCCAAACCCACAGAGGACACGACAACAAGAAGAACCTGCCGACGACCACCGGCTGAGACGCATCTCCACGCGGGGCAGGCATGGGAACCGGAACAAGTGCTGACCCGGGGAGAGGCAACGCCTTCCTAGGGACGGGACTGCAGACACAACACCAGCCCCGCTGGCTGAGTCACAGGGAACAGGGGGGCCTCCCAATGTCACACAGGTGAGCAGGCAGGTGCCTCAATAATCCTCTGAGCTTGAGGCAGGGAAAAGGGTGAGAAGAAAGAAACGCATCAGAAAAAGTGACAACAGGGGCTTCCCTGGTAGCGCAGTGGTTAAGAATCCTCCTGCCAATGCAGGGGACACGGGTTCGAGCCCTGGTCCGGGAAGATCCCACATGCCACGAAGCAGCTAAGCCCGTGCGCCACAACTACTGAAGCCTGCGTGCCTAGAGCCTGTGCTCCGCAACAAGAGAAGCCACCGCAATGAGAAGCCCACGCACCGCAACAAAGAGTAGCCCCCGCTCGCCACAACTAGAGAAAGCCTGCGTGCAGCAACAAAGATCCAACGCAGCCAAAAATAAATAAATAAATAAATTTATTTTTTAAAAAAGAAAGAAAAAGTGACAACTCCAGCCTCTCCTTTTCATGCGCCCCCGGGGTGGAATGCGGGCCTGCTGTGAAGCACCGGAAGCGCCAGGCAGGCCGGTTACGGTGAGCCACGGCACCACCTGCTGGGCGCCTCGCAGAAAAGCAGCTGGGACCCCACTGCGCCGCAGCAAAGGCCTGAAGGGGACACAAACGCTGTCCTTCCAGTGCTGGGGTCCTGCTGCACCATCACCGGCCTCTTGGAGCCTCAGTTTCCCCACCTGAATGCTGCGGCTTAGGGCGTGTAGCTCAAAGGGCTTTTGGAGGTGAGAACAACAGAGACAGTACACAGTACCGGCACCAAGGGAGCACTGGTGAAGAGGCACTAGCATGGCCCCTGGCATCCAGGACAGGGCCCAAAGCAGGAGCTGGAAGAATGTTGGCTGGAGGAGCCCACAAAGGGGGCCACGCTCCAGCACACACAGGGCTCCCAGCACCTCAGCCAGCACCAGACACTCAGCGGGTACGCGCCACGGCCCAGGCCTGTGCCAGGGCTGGGACACAGGGGACAGAGGGGCTGGCACAGCTTCCGCCCAGGAAGTTCACTTAACCAACGCCAGCCTCAGGCCTGGTCTCGAATACCGTGCACCGAGCACCCAGAAGGAAAAAAGAGCTATTGCACGCTGGCCCTCAAAAAACTCATTATCTAACAGGAGATGCAAAGAACGCAATAATTTTGGGGGGAGAGTGCTATGCGCCCTAGGAAAGGGGCAGGTGTGTGCTGTCTGAGAGGCCAGAGGAGGGAGCTCCCAGCCCAGTGAGAGGCTGCACTGGCGTGGGTGCACTGCACTGGCGTGGCGGAGCAGGCTGCCGGCAGGAAGAGGCTGGCAGACAGGGACCTCGCGAGCAGAACCAAGAGTGAGCACAAGACTCCCAGGGCAGCGACCCACACCTAGTGCCAAGTCCGATCACTGGCCTGGAGCCCTGTGCTGAGATGGATTCTGAGGGTCAGAACGACAGAGCAGCTCCATCAGCCAACAGCGCCCATGAGGGATGCTCCCACCCTCTCCATCACAAGCGCAGCTCTTCTGAACTGCCTGGTGACCTCAGATGTCCTCCACTTTGCAGAAGGCTCCTGCGTGTACACACAGTGGGAAAACCAGCAATGCCCAAAGCTGGTCCCCCCACTGCAGGAAGTCACCCCTCAAGGCTGAGGAGTGACCGAATCCTACACGGGTCTCGGAGCCCCTGGAGCAGAACTCATCCAGCAGGGTGGTGTCAGCTCCCAGGAGAGGAGCCCCCGTGAATGTGACCTACTGCAGGTCTGCGAGGGTGAAGAGGACCAATGTTCCTCCCGGCCGCTTCAAGGGCAGAGGCAGGCAGAGCAACAATGACGTCACGATCGCCACGCCCGAGAAAAGCAGGCTCCCCTCCTCACACACCCATCGCCAGCCCAGTGGGCAGAGAGCAGGAGGGAGAGAGCGCTGGGTGGAGCGGCCACACCACCTGCCCGGCACCCTGTCTTCCAAACAGCTACCGTCTGTCCCAGAGTCCACGTGCCTGGGCGCCGCACAGCCTGTATCCCGTTTAGCCCACCAGCTAAATTTAGCATCAGCTCAATCGCGAAAACGGGGACACCGAGGGGTGGATACACGACGGTGAGCGGTGAGCGGGCCCCTTCCCCAGGTTCCCCAGCCGGGAAAACCCAGGCCGAAGTGAAGGAGAGTCAAGAGTACACAGAGTTAGCCGTGTCGGCCAGACCAGAATCACCACGACGTCCTGTAACGGACAGCAAACGGCATAACAAATAACTATGTGCAGCTTTATTGAATGACACGAAAGACACCCATGATGCAGCGTTAACTCAAAACAATCAGAGCACAAAGCCATTCGATAACCCCAGTCTGGGTGTGCTGGCCATGCCGGCCGGTGGAGCCAAGGGGATTCGCACTTGAAAACAGCTTGAGGCGTAGAGTCTGAATTTTTTTTTAATATTTATTTAGTTAGTTGCGGCATGCGAACTCCTAGTTGCGGCATGTGGGATCCAGCTCCCCGACCAGGGATCAAACCCGGGCCCCCTACATTGGGAGCGCAGAGTCTCAGCCACTGGACCACCAGGGAAGTCCCTGAATTTTTAGAGATACTATAAACACCAGGGAGGGGAAAGCCTCAACTAGGATTCCTCCTGGGACACTCAACAGCAAACCACAAGGACAGGGGGCCACCACGAGGACTGTCCGGCAGGGTGGCCGGAGCCCTGTGCCTCCGGAGACCCCCTGGCGAGGGCAGTTCTGTAACTCTGTGACCAGCTGGGCCTCCTCGTGGTCATGTCCCGCCACCCGAGGGACATGGAAAGCTGGGAGAGGAAGGCTGCGACGCTCTAGGCCGTGCCTCAATGAGGCGGCCACCCTCAGCGCTCCGCCAGGGGCACCGCTGACATGGGCGGATTTCCGCTCCAGAGGCTCTAAGCGCTTCACGCCCCTAGCGACCTGCTCAGCTCACATCCCCCCCAGGAAGCGCCGCTCCAGGCCTGCACTCCAATCCTGGGCACTTAGATAAGTGCTAGCTGGACCAACCATCAAACTCCAGGACCCACCCACTAGGGGAACGCGGGGCCTGGTTTGCGGGGAGCAGCAGAGGCAAGGCCACACGCCTTCCACAAAGGCCCCGATGGAGGGCAAAGGGCGGGGAGCGCTGCCCCGGAAGGAGGGAAAATTGCTTTAAACCCTCTGCCTTTTAATCCCCACAACCACTCGAGCAACTGCTGCCCCTCAATGCAAACAAAGCGCAGAGACACGGGAAACTCAGTCAAATTTGCCTCGGTTCACAGAAGCAAGGCGGAATGGAGGTCCCGTCGTGAACGTGCTCGACGCCACTGATCTGCACACCTTGAAACGTCTAAAATAGTAAACTGCAGATTATGTGTATTAAAAGGTCTTCAAAAAATACCATCTCCTCTTATTAAGAAAAATAGACCATGGGCTTCCCTGGTGGCGCAGTGGTTGGGAGTCCGCCTGCCGATGCAGGGGACGCGGGTTCGTGCCCCGGTCCGGGAGGATCCCACATGCCGCGGAGCGGCTGGGCCCGTGAGCCATGGCCGCTGGGCCTGCGCGTCTGGAGCCTGTGCTCCGCAGCGGGAGAGGCCACAGCAGTGAGAGGCCCGCATACAGCAAAAAAAAAAAAAAAGAAAAATAGACCTTGGCATCTCAAAGGACGTCAGCAGAGCTGGCCAGCGGGCGCACGGCCATCAGCCCTCACTACGGTTGACTCCAGATGAGCCATCTGAGGTCAACCTAAGACAGAGGTAAGTGACCTGATATCAGGGAACTGCAGTCAATTATTCGGAGACATAAGTTCCACCCCCTCCCCGACTTCTCCAGTGTGAGTTGGAAGGCTCAGAAATCCCAAGGGTCTCTGCACTTGACATCAGCGGCCCTCACAGAGGCCGCCTTGGGCCAGGAGAAGCTCCAGAGCACTGCAGAGGCACACAGGTGAGAGAAGTCACAGAACGTGGCGGAGCCCGCCCGAGTGGACCCTGCGGACACCACCTCACTGAACTGCTTCCCTACAGATCTCAGGCAAAGCCAAGTCACCACCTCCTGCTGGACAGACAGTAAATACTCACTTGACCAAAGGTATCTGGCAACTCGCTCAGTTAACACCCAGCGGGACCTGCATTTACAGGAAGTCTTTGAACCTTCTGCACACGCAGCAGTCAAGTTCACGTCTGGCAGTCGCCAGGGAGATTCCCCATAGCCATCACTCAAAGCCCACGGAGCTGTATTTTGCACACAAACCAAGAGGCTTTGCTGCCTAGGTTCTCAGACCAAGGCACAGGAGAGGTGGCAGATTTAAGAGGAAGCTTAGGGTATACGGGCGCCAGTGCAGGATGGCGTTAAACCCACAGCTGTAACCTGAATCAACAGTGAACACAGTGGGCAGGGAAAGCCGGGAGGACAGAAGCAGCCTCAGGACTCGAGGCCAGGGGCCCACGACAGGCGCCAGCACAGGCGGCCGCAGCACAGGCTCGCTGGTCCCAAGTCCCCCACCCCCTCCCGAAAGGAACCCCACAGTAGAGTCCCCAAGGGATGTGAAGAGATGGTCACAAACGAGGAGACGATACCGGGCAATTAGCACATCAAGCGAAGCTCCTTGGAAACAGACGCGACACAAGCTCACACGGCAGGAGGACACGCTCACCCGGTAGCCCCGGGAGAGTCTGGCAGTGTCTCGCATGAGCAAGGACGTGGGCCAAGAACACTCACGCCCACAGGGAAGCCGGGCTTAGGAGAACCGTCCTGGAGAGCAAGCAACTGGGCAATCTCCCGAACACACCCTACAGTGCCGCTTCTAGGGACCTGCGCAGCGGCACCCAGGAAAGCCCGCACGAGGATATTCACTAGAGCAGAGAAACGGTGGAAACCACCAGGATCTCCCTCAACAGAACAGACACACGGCATGATGAATCCGCGTGGGGGGCTGCCACACACAGCACTTAGCAGGAACACACTAGCTCCACGGGAGCCACACATGGCAGATCTCAAAACAATGCTGGGTGGACAACACAGGCTGCACACCCAGATGCAACATTACACATTCAGGGACGCTGGGACACAGGGAAACAAAACTGTGCTTCTCATGGATACTTGGATGGACTTCTAAAATTTAAAAAGTAAACTCATACTGGAGGTTCAGGGAGCCAAAGTGGCTTTATTTTAATCAATATATGATGATCCTTTATGTCTATCTTTTAAGTCTCTCAAATGTCAAAGCAACACAGAAAAAGCCAAACGCAAAGGACGAATGCTATATGGTTATACTTATAGGAGGTCCCTGGAGTAGAGACAGGAAGTAGAAGGGTGGGCGCCAGGGGCTGGGGGAGGGGGGGGGTTAATGTTTAATGGGGACAGAGTTTCAGTTTGGAATGGTGAAAACACTTAAAATGGAAAAAAACCAAAACAGTTAAAATGGTAAATTTTGTTATGCGTACTTTACCAGGATTTCTTTTTAACGCAGGGCTGTAAAAAGAATGAGCAACAGCTGGATGAACTGAGAATGAGCGATTTCCAAGATACATTATTAAATGAAAAAGCAAACTGAGTAAAAGAAAGGGGATCGGGAAAACATTTGTGTACCTGCTAATCCTACAAAAGAAACATAGGAAGGGTAACTGAGAACCGGGAACATTTGTCTCTGGGTACGGGGGGGTGGGGACAATGCGGGGGGGTGGGGACAGGAGGAGGCTGAGGGGTGGCCCTCACAAGAGCTCTGCCCCTCCGACTTCAGTAAGGCTTCGAACACCAGAAAAACAAGGAAGCAAGCCACGCAGGATGTGGGGTGAACGCAAAGTGGAGTCCGAGGCAGTGAGAGACAGGAACATGGCCAGGCTGAGGGAGACGAGAAGAGGCCGGCCCCAGGTCATTCGAAGACGGTGTTTGATGGGGCGACCCAGGTGCCACCCCCCAGGAGCAGAGCAGCTGCCCCACGCGCACACCGGGGGGACGGGACAAATCAGCAAACACAGCTCAGGGAATGGAGAGCCAGGCCGTCTGCTGCTGAAGGGAGAGGCTGCGAGGAAAGAGGGGGGCAAAGTGTGATGAGCCCTGTGATGCAGGGTTGGAATCAGAGGCGCAGGATGAACGCGCTGTTTTCAACAGAAACGCGGACACCTGGCCAGTGCCCTCCAAGTGTCGAGGTCACGAAAGCCAGGGAAAGGCTGCGCCCGTCACAGCCTAGAAGGCCGAGGAGACCAGGCATGGCGAGGGCTCTGAAGCGACTCCCGCACAGAACAAGGACGAGATGGGGAAGCGGACGGGATGCTAAGGGCTGCAGGTGAGCACCACGCACATTCCCGCCTCTGACAGCTGTGCCAGGGGAACACGTGAGGGGCTGGATGGGGAAGAGGGTCCTGTCACGCGCGAGGGAGAGGGGCTCCCACTACGCAGAACGCTGAGCCCGGGGCAGAGAAAAGGCCAGGGGGCTCACTGCATCACCGCCCAGCACTTTGTAACTCTGAGAAACAACCTCTGGCCCCCAGGGAAGCCTAGGGAGGAACAGCGCCCGAGCCCCCGCGACGCGCACTCACCTGCGGAGGAGGGACTGCTGCAGGCTCCGGCAGGTGCTGAGCGACTCGCCGGTGAACAGGTGGCACACGACCACGTGCAGACAGCGCGCCATGAAGGCCAGCACGGCCTCGGGCTGTAGGGTGCCACTGCGGGACACCAGGCACAGGCGCTGCAACGCAGAGCACTGGCTCAGCGCCTGGAAGAACTGGGCGTTGGCGCTGAAGTAGGGCTGCTCCAGCCTGCAGGGAGAGAGGACGGACAGCGTGAGATCGCGGAGATGGACGCACGCTGAGCAGGGCTCCTGGTCCAGGGCCCAGACTGGCTGCCCCCAGGCCCATCCACACCACAGCCCCCAGGGGTGCCGGGTGAGGACTCAGACCCCTGGGGTCTCCCTTGGTGATCCTGATCTGGGGGGAGACCCTGCAGGCCCGACGCAACCAGATGCCCACAGACCCAGCCAAGTTGCTTCGTTCGCCGCTCTGACTGCTCGGTGCGCCTACAGACCCAGAAGAGCGCGTGGCAACTGAATCGTGTCCCCCAAAAGATCTGTTGCATTCCTAATCCTTGGTACCTGCACACATGGCCTTATTTGGAAGCAGGGTCTTTGCAGACTAAGATGAAGTCACGTGGGACTGGGGTGGGTCCAGTGACCGGTTCCTTAGTCGCATTGTGACGGCACAGCAACACAGGAACACGCAGGGAGCTCGGGGCTGGAGTGACACGTCCACAAGCCAAGGAATACCTCGCACTGCCAGCAGCCGCCGGAAGCTAGGGGACAGGCCTGGAACAGGCCCCGACCCAGAGCTTCCAGAAGGAACCATCCTGCCGACACCTTGACCGGGGACTTCTGACCTCTTAACTATGAGAGGGTGACTGTCTGTTGTTTTAAGCCACCCGGTTGGTGGTCATTTGTCAGGGCAGCCCCAGAACACTAGCACAGAAGCCAGGGAGAGGAAGCTGGAGCATGAACAGAGCACGGAGATCGTTTCGCAATAAATCACACAGAAAGACCAAGACGGCCCCATGGACAGAGGTCAAAGTGGATCCTGTTTACCCAAAATCCTCCCACAAGAAAACACAAGAAAACCTATTAACAAGGGCTATCCCTGGAGATCAGCACCAGACTGGGGAACCGTCCTCATTTTAGGGCACTCAGCGGCACCTCGGTCCTTCTCAGACAGGCACGTGCCTCACTTGACGCTTCTAAAACCATTCTGACTGCTGCGCGGAGTCCCGGTTACCCGGCCAGAGCCGCTTCAAGGCGGGCGGCACGAGCGGGAGAGGCCAGGCAGAGATTTCCACCCAAAGCAGGCAGAAGGCACACGGGCACTGCAGCGGGCAGGAGAAGGGCTTCACGGATGATGGAGATCTGGGCACGTGTGCAGGAAACTGCAGTTCAGGGGCTACGTCTGAACCCGATGGCTGAAAAGGAGGACGCTTCAAAGGGTGGCCACTGGGCACCCAGCAAGGCTCTCTCTCAATGAGCCACAAAGGCCTCTGATGGACATCGTGCCAGCCACGTGGGGCCTCAGCCCTCCGAGCAAGCCGGCCGGCCCGGGAGGACAGCGCTCTGCCAGGCTGTGCCCGAGCTATGGAAACAGTGCCTCAGGTCGGGGTGACACTGTCCCCTGAGGCTGGCCACCCCCAAGGCCCAGGCACTGCACAAACACGGCGTCTTGCCCGGGACTGTGGGTCTCTCTGAGCCTCAGCTCTGCCCACGGGACAGCCACTGGCCCTCCAGGTGGGCCGGGGCAGCTGGCAAGACCCCCATCTCCATGCGAGACCCACAGGGAACCCCGAGAGGCCTGTCTCTCCCCGTAAACTGACGAGGCCGAGTGGGTGACTTCCTGGGATGCCCCTGAGAGGCTCGTCTGCAGCTGTAGAATCTCATCATCAAAGGAGAGAAGCTTCTGGGGTGAGTGGAACGGCCCTCCCCCATCCCCGAGAGGCGGTGGGCCTGCAGTGGGGACAGAGTCACCACCACCACCGCCCCCCCCAGGCGGAAGGAGAGCCCAAGCGCTCTGGACGCAGTGACGTCCCGGGTGAGGCTGACCTGGACGAGGGTGAGGGGCCGTCCACAGGCCCAAACGAGAGCCACGTGAGCCTCGGACACAGCCTCCACAGCCCTGACACCTGGGGACGCTGACAAGTCACAGGACGGGTGAGGGGCTTTAAAATCAAGTCTGCGGGGCTTCCCTGGTGGCGCAGTGGTTGAGAATCTGCCTGCTAACGCAGGGGACACAGGTTCGAGCCCTGGTCTGGGAGGATCCCACATGCCACGGGGCAACTAGGCCCGTGAGCCACAACTACTGAGCCTGCGCGTCTGGAGCCTGTGCTCTGCAACAAGAGAGGCCGCGATAGTGAAGAGGCCCGCGCACCGCGATGAAGAGTGGCCCCCACTTGCCACAACTAGAGAAAGCCCTCGCACAGAAACGAAGACCCAACACAGCCAAAAATAAATATAAAAATATATAAATAAATAAAAGATTACTATTAATTAAAAAAAAAATCAAGTCTGTGGTGACGGCACGTCTGTTCGGAGCCATCCGGTACGGGAGCCACCAGTCACTGAAATGCAGCAGCGAGACTGCGTTTTTATTTTAATTACACGTAAGCAGAAGTTCTAGCAAGCTCCTAAAACTGTCGGGGGAACGCAGGTCTCTCTGGGGTATGATTCTGAAAAGCCTCACCCCGTCGAGGGTTCCGGGTGCAGCAGGAAGGAAGCCCCCGGGCAGGGCTGCTCAGGCACAAACACCAGGGAAAGGGCTCCCCAAGGGCTGCAGTGCTCAGCGATGCCTCACCCGCTGGACGCCACTGAATGAATTTCATCCCTAAAGAAACCGGGAAGAAGTGAGGGAGCTGCGAGCCGGGCCTCTCAGAGCTGTGGGCCACGGACCCGGACCCGAGCCCCCGAACCCCCTGGGCCCAGAGAGTAAGCAAGTGCATCTCGCCCATGGGTGTGAATGTTCCGAGAAGCTTATGTCTCTTAAGAAAATGTCTGAACATATTATTTGGTTCTATCTTTTTAAAAGATCCTAAGGTAAGCACACTGTGCAGACCTGAAAGTGCGAAAACTGGAGGGGGGAGAAAAGCCCTGACCCGCGAGTCGTCCCTGCAGCAGTGAGGAAGCTGGACCGCGGGCGGCGGGAAGGACAGGCCTGCGGCACCTCGGTCACTAGGTGGCGATGCGGGTCTGCGCTACCTGCTGGGGATCTCAAGCAGACAGAGGGGAGAGAGAGAGGGAGCTGAGTACTACACGCTTTTGAACCTTTTTTTCGGCCTGCCAGCCACTCCAGATTCCTCCCCCTGAAGGAAGCCCCCATCACGGGTGCTCAGGGCGGGCAGGCCTCGTGGGGCGGGCGAGGCTGGCACATCCACACCGTGCCCCGCTCCTCCGGGCAGTGGGCTGGCAGAGCTAACCTGACTCAAGGGACGGGCAGTGTCTTTGCTCAGGGCAGAGGAAGAGGGGCGCCTCTGTGACTGGCTTCGCCCTGGGGGGCGGGCCTCAGGCTTCCGACCTCAAAGGGTCTGGCCTCCGACGCTTGCTCTCCGAGAGGCTCTGTGGGCACAGACCGGCGCTCGGGCCGCCCCTCATCTGCCTGCCCACCTCTCAGGCCCCCCTCCGAGCAGCGCCCAGGCCTGGAGGGTTGCCCTGGCATAGCCTCCAGGGCCTGGCTCCAAGAAGCCCTCTCGCTTACGCCCAGACGCCGCCCCAGTTCCAAGGTCAGGGGCAGCCCAGGGTGACTCAGGGTGACGTTCTCCCTTCCCCTCTCCACCAGGCAGGGCTTCATCAGGTGCCCTGCTCTGCCCAGCTTGGCATCCTCCCGCTGGCGAGGTACACCACAAATCCAGAGCCTGTGAGGCCCCAGCGGGACGACGTGTTCCAGCAGGAGCGGCCCTGGCCCCAGCTGGCAAAGAGCTGCAGCTCACAGACCTCGCTGGTGGGGACGGCGGAGGCCAACCAGGGAAGTGCGGAAGCTGTCTGGGAGGCCGCCCTGGGAGCGGTGTGACAGGCAGGCACCATCTGCTCCTTTCCCTCCATCCCCCCGGGCTCCGCTTGCCACAGAAGGCAGGAATCCAGAGGAACGGGGCCATTTGGCCAAGTTCTAGAAACTGGTGTTTGTTCCGAACAGGCAGTACCCAGCTCCGATGAGGTGTGGGCTCAGCAGCCGCGCGCACAGAAAGCCCATTATGAGAGGCGGTCAGGTCCTCAGGTCGGCCCACAAAACCCACACTGCTCACACGGCCCTGCCCCGGGGGAAGGTCTGGGCCACGGGGATCACGTCCGAGGCCCCGGAAGTCACTTGGTGACCACTAAACACCAGGTTACCCCATTTGACATCCAGGGACCCCACGAAACAGGACCCGCTCCCAGCTGCCCACAGACCAGCCGTGTCTCCTGAGCAAGTTCATTAACCTTCTGGGCCCCACTTTCCTCATCTGCAAAATGGGATGATAATATCGACACTCCCAAGGTTGTTAAAACGTCAAAGACCTGTAAGCACGGGGAGAGCACGTGGCGGACGTACAAATACAAGCCAATGGGGGCAGCCACAGTCTGCAGCAGCCTAAAGGGCAGTCTCTCCCTTCAGCTTCCAGAACATCCCCACCCCCACCTCCTCTCCCCAACAGCTCCTACCAAGTCCTCATCCTCCTGACCAGATCCTGTTGGGCGATCTCTGCAGTGCAAGCGCCAGCTGGCGGACCTGGGGGACGGTCCTCCTCTCTGGGGGTTGGGGGGAGGGCCAGGGGGCATCCAGGCTTCTCCAACCCACATGTGTGCAGCCTCACCCCTGCCTTCCTCTCTCAGCCACATGGCAGCCACGTCAGCTCAACGGCTCAGGCCAGAAGCCCTGGCACCGCCTGGACCCCCCTAGCCTCAGCACCCATCCCATGCACCCAATCAATCAGCAGATTCCCCGTGAAGCCAGAAGCTGGCTATTTCTGGCCATGCCCCAACCCCCGCTCTCGCCTGGCTGCTCCCTGCATGTCTGACGTGCCCCTGACGGTGGCCCTGCCGCTGCCCCCAGGCCACTTGCGGCACAGCAGCGAGACCTGCCCTGCTTCCGTTCTGGCTCCTGAGACCCTGGCACACCCATCTCGGGCCCTGCGCTCTCAGCTCTGTCCAACAGAACCTTCTGGGCAGAGGGGAGTGTCTGTATGTGCTCTGTCCAGCACAGTGGCCACCAGCACACGTGGTTACTAAGCACCTGAGACACGGCTGATGCCACCAAGGAACTCGATGCTTGGTTTCATCTCATTTTAGTTCATGTAAACGTAAGTCACCCTGTGGGTCGTGGATACCGTTCCGGCTGATGTGACCCTACCTGCCTGGCCCGGAGCACTCTTCCCCCAGGTTCTGCTTTCTAACTCACCTCCCTGGGTTCTCTGCTCAGAGCTCACCTCCTTCATGAAATGTACCCCAAATGCCACCCCTGCGCCCAGGCATCCCTCGCCCTGCTCTGCTTCTCCTCCCCGGCGTCTGTTACCGTCTAACATACCGTACGCTTCCTTTACGTTGACTATTGGTCTGTTTTCCCCACTAGAACGTAAGCTCCCCGAGGACAAGGATCTTTGTTCTGTTCAGTGTCCTGGGTGCCTGGAACAGTGCCTGGCATAAGAGATGCTCATGTATTTGCTGAATGGATGAAGAACCATAACGTGTATTATAAGTGCCAAGTCCTGTTCTAAGTGTCTTATAAGGATGAATCCCTTTGGTCTGAACAGCCCCACTTTACCGAACAGGGACCTGGGCACAGACAGCCCAAGGTCCACCCAGGTCTTCTGACTCTGAGGCCCCTGCCGTGGGTCCTGCCTGCCTCCACCCAAGGCTAGGGTCTATCTCCTGGACGAGGAGATGCAGGGACATGGGACCAGCTTGGACGCCACGCCCACTCCTCACTCCTCCAGGCAGAGCAGCCCTGAAGGGGCCAAGCACAGGCCTCGTGCAGGGAATCCAGCAGCCCGGGTGAGCTGGGAGCACCTGCCGTCTCCAGGTGGCCATGCAGGCAGCAGACATTTGCTATGACACTGTGGGACTTCCCTGGTGGCGCAGTGGTTAAGAATCCACCTGCCAATGCAGGGGACACGGGTTTGAGCCCTGGTCCGGGAAGATCTCACATGCTGTGGAGCAACTAAGCCCATGTGTCACAACTACTGAGCTTGCGCTCTAGAGCCCGCGAGCCACAACTACTGAGCCCGCGTGCCACAACTACTGAAGCCTGCGCGCTTAGAGCCCGTGCTCCGCAACAAGAGAAGCCACCGCAATGAGAAGCCCGCACACCGCGACAAAGAGTAGCCCCCGCTCGCCGCAACTAAAAAGAAAGCCTGTGCACAGCAATGAGACCCAACGCAGCCAAAATTAATTAATTAATTAATTTTAAAATATGACACTGTGGACATGAGGCAGAAAGGACGTTGGAGAGAGAAGGCCAGTTTTCATTACCTGCCTTGAAGCACTGTGACTTTTTATTTTATCTTATTTTTATTTTTTTGGCTGCATCGCGCAGGCACATGGGATCTTAGTTCCTCAACCAGGGATTGAACCTGCACCCCCTGCAGTGGAAGCGTGGAGTCTTAACCACTGGACCACCAGGGAAGCCCCGTGACTTTTTAAACTACGTGAATGTATGAGTTTATTTTACTTTCACTGATTTCTCTATTGATCAAACACTCCTCAATAACGAGCACGTGGTTTGACCACAGCGTGGTTAGAAAAGGCGCCAGGTTTAAGAGGGTAGCAAGAAAGCCAAAACACTGAGGACAAAAATGACAGGTCCAGAAATACTCTGGCTCTGAGTTTAGTTAAATTAGAACTCAAATGCTCCCTCAGGCTCCCCGAACTAAGGGACATTCAATTCCTGATCACGAGAATCCAACAGGGTAACAGGACAGCAGACCTGGTGGTTTTTCGTTTGTTGGATGTATTTTGTGGTCCACCTGCAGCTTCAAGTTACGCATGACCCACTGACCACTCACTTCACAACAGTCCTTCTGGAAAGGCCACTGATGTGACAGTGAAGGCACAGGAGGGCACAAGGTGGGAGGAGGCACTGGATGGAGATGAACCAGTGAAAAGGGAGGGAGCTGAGAGCGATCTGGGCAAGAGGGGCAGCATCGTCTGAGATGGCAGCCAGGCTCACCCTGTGAAGGGCGAGGGGCAGGGGCTGTGGCCAGGGCCCCTCCCCACTCACTCACAGGTGGCGCCCCGCCCCACAGGGCAGGAGGGGGCCAAGTCACGTGGGAGGCCAGGCTTGGACCCCAGGCCGCAGCCCTCACGCTGGCAGGGACTGGGCGGGGGGCCCACAGCGTGTGTTGCCCTGGGGGTGGCAGGCAGCCTGGCAGAGAAGCTCTGGGAGGCTCCAGGGCCGGGGCAGCAAAGCTCCACCTCAAATCCGGTTCATTTCCTGCCTTCTACGGGGAGAGTGGAGGTCCGAAAAGGACACGCTTGTCTCCATTTTGTGTGGCTCGGGGGCCCAGGTCGAGCACTGGACTTCGATGACCCGGGCGGACCTCAGCTCCTCCCTCAGGCGTCCGCTGCCTCTCCATGAAGCAGGAACGACGAAGGGCCTAGTGAGGAGATCAAGCCAGACAGCGCCACAGAGCCCCCAGCCTGGTGTCCGGCCCGCAGCGAAGACACACAGCGAGTGCTCACTGGTGCGGCGATGACGACACGCGCGCATCCCCGTGCCCCGATGCCGCCCTCACCCGGCTGCCCCACCAGCTCCAGCCTCATGGAGACCAAGCCCAGCGGCCACTCCCTACCCCACCCGAAGCCCTCGCAGAGCTGAGGCCTGAGGCCACCACGACGTTTAGGAAACTGCAGTTTTTCAAGATCAGATCTGTAGACATTTTCAAATCCGGCTCAGGTTAACAAAGGCTGGCCGTCTAAATGCTGGGCCCTCACGAGAACAGCCTTCACTCTACAGCACGAGTCGCCGGGGATCATTCCGCTTCGGGGCCCAGGAAATCGCCAGTGGCCCTCCAACAACTGCCTGGGTGGGGGAAGCCCTGCGGAGGTCCGTGGGTCCCACCACCCCGCACTCTCCTGGGGCAGCCCCTCAGGTCAGCCCGGCCGTCCTGCTCCGGGCACCGCCACATCTCAACAGTGTGCGGCCCCCTTCGGAGCCCGCCTCTCTATCTCCCCTCCCCCGCCTGGCCCCTCCAGTCCAGGTGGGAGGCCAGAGGGACGTCTCCAAGCTGGAACCTGACCCCTCCCTCTGCGGGCCGAAGTCCTTCAGCACCTTCGCCTCACCTGACGCCCCCGTGCCCCCGAGCAGGATCATCTGGCTTCGGAGCGCGCTGCTTGTCTGTAAGCCTCTGCGGCTTCTACACACGCTGCCTTCTTTCCCAGAAAGCCTTGCGCCTGCATCTCCTGGCTAACCCCGACTCATCCTTCAAGAGTCGCAAAGCTAGGCTCCACTCCCGGCCCCCCACTTACCAGCTCCATTATCTGGCAAGAACAGCGTCCACCTCGTGGGACGGGCACGAGGACTAATAAGATCACGTACGCAGCAGCGTCCTAGAGCCAGGCAACGAGGACGACGTGCCAGGCTCGGGCGGCACCGCCTCCTGCACACCCTCCCTGGGCGCCGCCAACCGCCGCTTCCCGAGCCCCCGCGCCCCCCGGGCCCCCCCACTGCGCACGGTCCCTTGTCAGCACCCCCCAAGACCCTCAGCCCCTGAAGGACAGGCCTGCGCCCCGCTCGCCTTGGCAGGTGCGCCGCGGGTACGCCAACGCCTGCCGAGCAGAAGGCCGTGCGCCCCTCAGGCCTCCCCACAGGGCCGGCAGAGGCACGGCGGGGCCGGGTGCCCTCACCTGAAGTCCTTCAGCCGCTTGCAGTGCTTCAGCATGTCCGCGAGGGCCGAAGTGTAGGCCACCTTGCCCATCGTGCCCAGGTGGGCCAGGGACAGGGACTGGAGCTGCTGGCACTGGACGCCGATGCTGACCAGCCCGGAGCCTGTCAGGATGCTGGGCAGCTGGGCCAGCGTCAGGTGCCTCAGGAAGGCCAGCTGGCCGATGGCGGCCACCTCCGAGTCCCCCACGCTCTGTGCCCGGCCGCAGGGGGGGAGCGAGTTGCGGATGGCGGGCTCATTGCGCGGCATGGCAGACGAGAAGTTGGACCCAATCAGCTCGAGGCGGTCCAGGAAGGGCACGCTCTTCAGCAGCGACCAGAACACAGAGGACGGCAGGGGGCCCGCCTGCCCGGAGAAAGGGTCGGGGCCGGACGGCACGCCGATGCGGACCTTCTTGCCGAAGCCGCGGGGCACAGCGTGCGTGGCAGGCTGGACGGGCGCGCGGTCGGCCCGCGGCGCCGAGTCAGCGACGGCGCAGACGGGCAGCGACAGGGAGCGCAGGTGGCAGAGCCGTGCCAGCAGCTGGCACAGGTGCCGGCCGGGGCCCTCGGGGCTGTGGTGGTGGGCAGCCGAGAGGTTGAGGTGTCGCAGGTTGCCACAGGCTGCCACCAGCGTCTCCAGGATGCCACTATCGATGTCGTCCTCTGCCTTGCGCAGCAGGGAGTCGGGCGCCAGGCAGTGCGCACAGCCGCTGAGGTTCAGGCCAGCCAGGCTCCGGAGGTCCCTGCCGCCGTCGATGACGCGCCGGATCAGGTGGCCGCCGGACAGGGCACAGCGGCTGAAGCTGAAGTAGAAGGGGCTGCTGAACTTCATGTGCTGGAGGAGGGCCGAGCCGTTGAGCCAGGACTTGGGCAGCTGCAGCGCGTCCAGCGCCACGTTGCGGGCCATGGACTCCAGGAGGTTCTTGGTGGCCCCGCTCTCAGCAAAGCTGCCGGGCACGGAGATGAGGAAGGCGTGCAGGTTCTCGGGCGTGCGGTCGCTGAGCACAGCCAGGTAAAGGCGCACCACCTCCTGGTTGATGTAGCCGGGGGCCAGGCGGGCGTAGAAGACGCGCAGGTGCTGATAGCGCGGCACGTTGCTCTGGCCCACCATGAGCTGGCCCGAGAGCACGGCGCCCTCGCGCGTGCGGTCCAGGATCTCGAAGTACAGCAGCAGTTTCTCGAGGCTGGTACAGCAGGGCACCACGCCGTACGAGGGCGTGTACAGCGTCTGCTTGAGCTCCCGCACACGGCTCAGCGTGGCCTTGCACTCACCGCTCAGCTGGCTGGCGTCGAAGCCGGGGCTCACGTCAATGGCCAGGGAGCGCAGGCGCTGCAGGGCCGACAGAACCTTGGAGAGGCGCAGGGAGGTCAGGTGGCAGCCCGAGAGGTTCACCTTCACCAGGCCGCGGCAGCGGGCCACGTGCTCCACCGTGCTGCCCGACAGCCAGTAGCAGCCGGCCATGCTGAGCTGCTGGATCTCCCAGCCGATCTCCGTCACCAGCTGCTTCACCTTGTCCTCGCTGGCCTGTGGGTGGGCGGAGGGGGGGAGAGAGGGGCTGCAGGCACCGGCGTCTCCTCCACCCTCGCCCCCCAGACCGCGCTCTCCACCGTGACAGTCAGGGAGCCACGGGGGGCGCGGCAGAGGCCCCGCTCCAGCTGAGGAGGGGCAATGAGGGCAGGGCTGGCGCCTCGCCCCCCCGCCGCATGCTTACCTTCCACCAACAGTCAGGAGCCTCAGCCAGGCGGGAACGGAAAATGGGGCAGCCCCTGTGGAAAAGTCTGGTGGCTCCTCCGAAAGCCAAACAGAGTTACCACGTGACCCACAGTTCCACAGCCAGGTGTACACCCAAGGGGACTGAAAGTGGGGACTCAGGCTCCTGCACACCCATGTCCACGGAGAACCGTTCACAACAACCGGAAGGCGGCAACAACCCAGCCGTCCATCAACGGATGAACAGGTAAAGGCAATGGGGTCCATCCATGCAGTGGAATTCTACTCGGCATGGAGAGGAATGAGATCCTGACGCTGCTACAGCATGAGTGAACCTTGAGGACATGATGCCCAAAGAAGCCAGTCATAAAGATCACATGTTGTATGATCACTTATATGAAAGATCCAGAACAGGCAAAACCAGGAAGAGAAAGTAGAACAGAGGTTACCAGAGGCCTGGGCAAAGGGGACATGGGAGCTATTGCTTAATAGCTCCAGAGTTTCTGTTTAAGGCGATGAGAAAGTTTCGGAAAGAGTGATGATGGTTGCGTAACACTGTGAATGTACTTAGGGCTAACGAAATGGTACACTTAAAAGTGGTTAGGGGGGCTTCCCTGGTGGCGCAGTGGTTGAGAGTCCACCTGCCGATGCAGGGGACACGGGTTCGTGCCCCCGTCCGGGAAGATCCCACATGCCGCGGAGCGGCTGGGCCCGTGAGCCATGGCCGCTGAGCCTGCGTGTCCGGAGCCTGTGCTCCGCAACCGGAGAGGCCACAACAGTAACAGGCCCGCGTACAACAAAAAACAACAAAAAAAAAAGTGGTTAGAGGACTTCCCTGGTGGTGCAGTGGTTAGGAATCCGCCTGACAGTGCAGAGGACACAGGTTAGAGCCCTGGTCCGAGAAGATCCCACATGCCATGGAGCAACTAAGCCCGTGCGCCACAACTACTGAGCCCACGTGCCACAACTACTGAAGCCTGCGCACCTATAGCCTGTGCTCCGCAACAAGAGAAGCCACTGCAATGAGAAGCCTGCACACAGCAACGAAGACCTAACGTATCCAAAAAAAAAAAAAAAAAAAAAAAAGTGGTTAGGATGGGAAGTTTTATGTTAGGTGGGGTTTTTTGAAATCACATAGTGGAATCACGCCCTGGAAGCGTTCTTTCGCTGTCACTTTCCTTTACGTCACATGCACTTTCATATCATTAAATGTTCCTCAAAAACCTGGCCTGGACGGCCTAGGGAGCCACAGTATGTCCAGTCGGGGGCCCAGTGGCCACCAAGGCCTTCAGACAACACAGCATCCATGTACATAAGGCTTGTGCACATGATCACTTCTCTACAGCAAATGCACACACACAGAACTGTGCAGACGAGGGACACACATTCTAAACGCTCCAGACAGACTGTGCACCTGCCCTTCCTCTACAGTAAAGAACCCTCGTGGGCAGGAAGCCTGACCTCAGCGCTTTGGGGAGTAAGTTCAGCTCTCCATCAGGGAGCACAGTGCTCTCACAGAAAGAGACTGAGCTCTAAGGGACCTCATTCTGGGTTTCAAAGGCATCACTGCCCAGCCAGCAACAGCAGTAGGAGCCCCTCCAAGTCCCCTAAAATTTGAGTTAAGGACAAGGCCTCTGTTTATCTTTAAAATAGGTCATCAACTGATTTTCCAGGTTGCAGGCAATTCGGCGAGGACAGGATAATCTTTTCAGTAAGTAGTGGTGGAAGGCGTGAATAGCTGTGTGCAGAACAGTGAGCCTCACCCTGATCTCACGGCATATGTGGAGATGAACACAAAAGGATCACAGACCTGCCATAAGAGCTAAACCTATAAACTTCTATAAGACAACATAGAAGGGTGCTGGGAATACTGGACAGCCACAGGCAAAAGAATGAAACTGGACCACTATCTATACCATACACCAAAATTAACCTAAAATGGATTAAACACTTGAACGTAAGACCAGGAACCATAAAGCTCCTAGAAGAAAATATAAGTAGTAATAAGCTCCTTGCCATCAGTCCTAGTGATGATTTTTTGAAATCTGACACCAAAAACAATAGAAGCAAAAAGAAACAAGAGGAACTGCATCACCTGAGCAGTTTCTGCACAGCAGAGGGAACCAGCAACAAAATGAAAGGCAGCCTATTAAATGGGAAAAGATACTGCAAATCATATATCTGATAAGGGGTTAATATCCGAAATATACAGAGAACTCATACAACTCAATAGCAAAGAAACTACCCTATTAAAAAAATAGATAGAGGGGCTTCCCTGGTGGCGCAGTGGTTAGGAATCCACCTGCCAGTGCAGAGGACACGGGTTTGAGCCCTGGTCTGGGAAGATCCCACATGCCGCGGAGCAACTAAGCCCGCAAGCCACAACTATTAGCCTACGTGCCACAACTACTGAAGCCCACGCGCCTAGAGCCACTGCTCCACAACAAGAGAAGCCTGTGCACCACAATGAAGAGTAGCCCCTGCTCGCCGCAACTAGCGAAAAGCCCGCGTGCAGCAACAAAGACCCAACACAGCCAAAAAAATAAATTAAAACTTTCTAAAAAGTTAAAAAGAAGAAAGAAGACAACATAGGAGAAAATCTTCATGACCTCAGGTTTCACAAAGATTTCTTCAACGGAATACAAAAAGCATGAACTCAAAAATTCAATAAATTGGACCTCACCAAAATTAAAAACTTACGCTCTTCAAAAGACACTATTAATCAAAATGAAACGGCAAGCCACAGACTATAAGAGAAAATATTCACAACACACCCCACAAAGGACTTGTACCAGAATATATATGGAACTCACAAAACTCACTAAGAAAAAGATAGACAATAATGAATGGGCAAAAGCCTTGCACAGACACTTCTGAGAAGATATACAAATGGCCCACGCACCTGAAGAAAGCATAATCGACAGCATCCTCCACCAGAGAATACAAGTTAAAACTACAATGAGGTACCACCTCCCACACATCACAGTGGCTAAACTGAAGAGACTGACACCACCAAGTGTTGGCGAGGATGCAGAGCAACCAGAACTCTCGGATGCCGCTGGTGGGGAGAGGTGGTGCCTCCAACTGTGCTTAACTCCACAGGAAAGCCCAACACTGACAGTGGGCCCGCATGTCCACTCCTGGGTACCTACCAGGAAGTCAGTCTCCCTCCTGGCCCAGTGCCAAGGCCCAAGACCCTTCCAGAAGAGCGCCTGCTCTACCTGTGCTCTGGCCCAGATGGCACACTACCTGCACTTTTGGGCCCCTGGCTTTTGCCGTATCATCCCTGCAAGCGCCCCACCACTGCCAGGCTGTGCGGGGCCTCAGTCGGGCACCTCGGTTGTTCCCCATCTCTGCCCCCAGCATGCCAAGCGCCACCCCCAAGCCCCTCACCTCATAGTCCTTCTGCAGCAGCACCGTGTGGGTGAGGCTCTTGTCCAGGCACAGTGCTGCGAGCTTCCGGCAGGTGCGCCGGACGTTCAGGATCAAGTCTATGCTGGGGACGTGGCTCAGGATGTGCAGGAGGATCTCGTCCGAGAAGCCCAGGAGGTGGGCACCATCTGCCACCGCGGCTGCTGCAGGGGGCACATCGCCGGCGCTGGCTGCGTCCTGAAAACAAGGGGCATCAAATTCCACGGGATCCCCCAGGGTGGCCCTCAGGCAAGGGAAGCCTTCACCACAGTCCATGGGGAAGAAGAGGCTGTTACCAAAAACCTTAACTGCAGATTAAAGAGTCCCCAACATTCTCCGAAAGCCCCTTTCAATCTGCACACCAGGATCGCTCTTCAAAAGTGACAGATTTGAAGGCTTCCCTGGTGGCACAGTGGTTGAGAGTCCGCCTGCCGATGCAGGGGACACGGGTTCGTGCCCCAGCCCAGGAGGATCCCACATGCCGCGGAGCGGCTGGGCCCGTGAGCCATGGCCGCTGAGCCTGCGTGTCCGGAGCCTGTGCTCCACAACGGGAGAGGCCACAACAGTGAGAGGCCCGCGTACCACAAAAAAAAAAGTAACAGATTTGAAATTTAAGAGAGATTTTTCCTACTGAAGGTCTCCAGACAAGTCTGGCAGGTTTCCAACTCAACTCATGACCATCGGCGAGGCTGTCCATTTGTAAAAGCTGCTATTCTGCCCCCACCTGCTCTGCCCCTAATGGCAGGCTGTATTAAAACATCCTTGGGCTGGTGAATTCCATCAAGAAACAATGATAATTGGTCTTCACCAATAACAACGGTGCCTTCACCTCCAGGGTTGCTCTGATGGGTAATGAGTTACCATTATGTGTATGATACGTGTATCAGCTCTTCAGGACAGCGCTGGATGCAAATGAGAAAATGAAACTATGAGGCCCTAATAAATAAGAAACAGCACCTACCAGACCAATGACATTTTTAAATCTCAAGATTCGTAACAAACAATAGGAACGGCACAACTTCTCTCCACTTATCAGACTTCCTGGTTAGAAATCCACGTTGGGGGCTTCCCTGGTGGCGCAATGGTTGAGAATCTGCCTGCCAGTGCAGGGGACACGGGTTCGAGCCCTGGTCCGGGAAGATTTCACATACCACGGAGCAACTAAGTCCGTGCACCACAGCTACTGAGCCTGCGCTCTAGAGCCCGCGAGCCACAACTACTGAAGCCCCCGCACGTAGAGACTGTGCTCTGCAACAAAAGAAGCCACCACAACGAGAAGCCTGCGCACCGCAACAAAGAGTAGCCCCCGCTCACCGTAACTAGAGGAAGCCCGCGTGCAGCAATGAAGACCCAACACAGCCAAAAATAAAATAAATAAAAGAAAAAAAAAAAAGAAAGAAATCCATGTTGGTATTTCCAGTAAGATGTCCACTCATCTTACTGTTTCATTCTGCTTTTGCAAATATCTACAGAAGGTTTTCTGCCCTAATGTGGGCTTCCCATCTTACTGATCAGTGCCTGTACAACCGAGACAAAGAGGGGAGAGACCTATGTCAGTGTGCCGTGGAATCCCCAAATCAAGGCCAAAGGAACTGGGGTGCTCTAAGAAAAGCCCACGGTGGGCAGGAATCCCTGTATCTTCCCAACACCTCCTGAAGGGCCCCTCCTGCCTTAAACGTCCTCACTGACGGGGTGCCTCTCTGACACTCCCAGGAGGGAGAGCACCCAGAACTATTTCTACTGCCTTTTCCAGTGATTCTGTCTACGAGCCCCGCCTCCTCTGTCCTCCCTCTTTTTCCATACATATTTGCATGGATGGAAGCCTCCAGGCTTGGAAAGCCCTGCTGCTGCCATGGCAACCGTTAAGTCCAGGGAGGAAGGGCCTGTCTGCACACCCCACACAGGCACCAGGGGTTTCCCGGGAACTATGACTGCGACACCCCTCCAGCCTCTGCATCTGGCCGAGCCCTTGCCAGGACGGGAAAGGTTTCCCCGATTACTGCCCACCCTTTCAACAGCATCGGCCCCTCCCACTCACCCTTCTTCCTGAGAGGCAGTAGCCAGACTTGCCTTCCCTTCCCTCCTTCCTTCCGAAGTGCCCTCAATCCTGTCTCCCTCCTCCCACCTTTACAGGGGCAGAAAGCAGCCATCAGACCCAGCTCCATAGCTGCCCCGGGTCACTGTATCCTGGGGTCTAGTGTTTTGAACCATACGTGACTTTCCTGACAAATTTCCCAGACGCAATCATCTGGGATCATCCCAGACACCTGTTAAAAAATCAGCTTCCCAGGCCACATCCTAGACCTAGGGACTCTATCTCCTGAGAGAGAGGCTGGGCCCAGGGGCAATCCTTATCAGGCAAGCTTGGTATACAGGGCTCCTGGGCACAAGTGGGAAGAGCTGGGCCTGAATTCCACCGAGCAGCCTGAGGCTGACCCCTTCTGATGCCCAATTCGCGGATTTATCAAAGTAAGAACACCACTGCAGAGCAAAGAGAACACAGGGCAAGACACTCCCAGAAACTCCAGCATCATATCATTTCCAGTTACAGTATGGAATACTGAATTTCTCTCAAAACCACCTAGAAATTACATGAATTAAAAAAAACAAAACAAAACAGGAGGTGAGCTGAAGCTTCCTCCGTCCAGTCTCAGCACCCCCGACGCGATCACCTTCTCCACATGCTGTGCCCCAGTGCTGTCCTTAGGCCAGCACCCCCTGTCCTGGGACAGGCGTTCAGGGCAGCAGGTCTGGACGAGAGGAGCAGCCGCCCGGGCAGCACGTCAGATTGGTTCCCCCACCCCCGGCCCCGGTCTCCCGACCGCCAAGCCTGGGAGGCCCAGTCGTGCTGGGTTTGCAACAGTTGAGTCTTTTCCCTGGAATGGAGGCTTCATTTCTAAGTCCGTGTACCTTCCCCTCAGGAAAGGCAGCGAATTCTGCAGAGGTAACAGCAAATAGGGGGCCGCCACCAGAAGGGAAGGAGGAGGCCTCCGAGCTTCTTCACCTCCGAGCGGGGGGGTGTGAGTAGCCCCCGCTCACCACAACTAGAGAAAGCCGGTGCACAGCAACAAAGACACGATGCAGCCAAAAATAAATAAATAAAATAAATAATGATTTTTTTAAAAAAGAAATAGAAAAAAAATGGGCAATGAGTACATAGAGGGAAGTTCATTACAACATCCTTTTGCAAGTGTGTGGAATTTTACATTTTACTTTTTTTTTTTTTTTTTTTGCGGTACGGGGGCCTCTCACCGTTGTGGCCTCTCCCATTGTAGAACACAGGTTCCGGACGCGTAGGCCCAGCGGCCATGGCCCACGGGCCCAGCCGCTCCGCGGCACATGGGATCTTCCCGGACCAGGGCACGAACCCGCGTCCCCTGCACCAGCAGGCAGACCCTCAACCACCGCGCCACCAGGGAAGCCCTACATTTTACTTTTGTTTTTGGTTTTTTTGATCACAGGAGTGACCTGAGGGATGCTTCTCACATTGCCCCTCTTCTTAAGCCTCTGCTTCTCCAGTTGGCATTTTCTGGAATGTCCCCTGTCCCACGGCACTCAGGCCTCCAAGCCTTTGCACAAGCTGCCCCCTCCACCCAACGTGCCACGGAACTTCAGCTCAAAGGCTCCGTCCCCAGGAAGCCCTTCCAGCATCCCCCAGACACATTTAACTCACCTTCTCCTCCACTGCCGCCCCAGCTTACCCTCCCCGCCCCCCTCCAGCCTCCAGCCTCATCAGGTGAACTGTACTGGTTTGTTGCTTGCCCGTCTCCTCCCTAGGCCAGGAATGGCTCCTGAACAGGGATCACTTTCTAATGCCCAAGGGAAAGAGCCATTGAACTGGGTGTCAACAAACCACGGCTTCAGAATCTTTTGAAGAGCTATTAAAAACGCAGAGCCCGACTCCTCAGAAACTCAGGGAGCAGTCCTAGACATCTGCATTTTAAGCCCAGCAAGGACCCTCAAAATTAGACCCCCCCACTCTGAAATCAGAGAGGGGATGGTGGCACAACCTCGTGAATATATTTTAAAACCACTGCATTATACACTTTAAAAGTAAACTTTGGGACCTCCCTGGGAGCCCAGTGGTTATGACTTCGTGCTTCCATTCATTGCCAGGGGCGTGAGTTCGATCCCTGGTCAAGGAACTAAGATCCTGCATACCACACGGTGCAGCCAAAAATTTTAAAAAACTGAAAAAAATAAAATAAAATAAAAGTGTAAATTTTACAGTATGTTAATTGTATTTCAGTCAATCAATCAATCAATAATTAGACTGTCCCAGGGACTTCCCTGGTGGCACAGAGGTTAAAAATCCACCTGCCAATGCAAGGGACACGGGTTCAAGCCCTGGTCTGGGAAGATCCCACATGCCGTGGAGCCACTAAGCCCGTGCGCCACAACTACTGAGCCTGCGTTCTAGAGCCCTCGAGCCACACCCACTAAGCCTGTGTGCCACAACTACTGAGCCTGCACTCTAGAGCCCGCGAGCGACACCCACTGAGCCTGTGTGCCACAACTACTGAAGACTGCACGCCTAGAGCCCGTGCTCCGCAACAAGAGAAGCCACCACAATGAGAAGCCCGTGCACCACAACGAAGAGTAGCCCCCGGTAACCGCAACTAGAGAAAAGGCTACATGCAGCAACAAAGACCCAACACAACCAAAAATTAAAAAATAAATTTATAAAAAATTTAAAAAAATTTTAAATAATTAGACCGTCCCAGAGAAAGGGACCTTGATCATGTCCAGGATAGAGCAAGAGTCTCCCTCTCTCCTCTCAAGCCAAAAGACCCTCACGATTGGCCAAGAGGCCTCACTGGTCAGGGTCCCGACATCTGATTCAAGGAACAGCGGGGCCTTTGCGCCAGGACCCCGTAAGACCAAGGTGCCAGACAGCCCCCCCGCCCAAGCACACGCGACTAACGGGAATCTGCTAACACAGCCAGGCTATACCCCCAGGATTCTTCCTGGGGGAGCTGGTACTCTCTGGCCCTTCAATCCTACTACCAGCGAACAGGTGGGCCCCACACCTTCCCCCTCAATCAAGGGGCCACTTCCGAGCCAAATCCGCTTCCAATGAAGAACAGCTGTCGGCAACCCCAGCCGCCTCCCACGCACTCCTGCCGAACCCGCTCCTGCTAGCCGGAGCACGAGCAAGCCCGCAAGGCTTAGGGAATACGCTCGACGGTCTGAGTCCCGGACCACAGGTATAAATACAGGTGCACACAGGTACACAAACAGGTAGCTGGGAATCAACAAAAGGAAAGACCCTAGTCACTGTCCGGATCCCCCATTTCCTGGTCTACAGAGAAAATACCCTGCACCCCATTACAGGAACTCGGTGGGTTTCTCCGTCGGACCCAGATTTGTGGAGCACTGGGGAAGAAATTCTGGGTGAGTCACAAGTCTCCCAGGTGAAATGGATTTTCTTCCACCACCCCCCAAGTCACACAACAAGCAGGCTCAGAGGAAAGTGGGCTGGACTGAAACCGAACGTTCAGCGACACAGGATGGGATGGGATGGGAAGGGAAGTGGGCAGGGAGGAGGAACGTCTCAGAGCTCCAAGGGCTGAGCCAAGGCACAGGGGCATGGGAAGAGGGCCTGGGAGACCTAGAGGGGCTGGAAACTCTGGGGAAGACGGGAGAGGGGGTGAAGTCTGCCGATCAGGAATGCGGGACTGGCAAACGCATGGAAAACCGAAAGTTGAGAGAGCTTATGCCCTCGGATACAGGATAAGGTCCTAGGGGCCGGGATGGGTCAAGGAGGGGGGATGGGGTAAGGGGCAAGGGGCAAGTGGCAAGGCCAGAGCAGGGATGGGAAGGACGGGGCGAGGCCAAGGCCAGGGTCGGGGCAGGAAGGACCAAGCCAGGCCGACGCCAGGGTCGGAGTGAGGGCCGCGGCGGCGGTCAGGATGGGAAGCTGAGAGCCAGCCGAGGTCAGGACGGGAAGGATGGAACGGGAAAGGGAGCGAGACGGAAAGGACGCAGGGAAACCGGAGTCGGGGTGGGGAGGACCGAGCGGGACCAAAGCCGCCGGGCAGGGAGGAGAGTAGAGACAGGCGCCTGCCGTACCTCTCCGATGCTGGCCATGTCGAGGGCGGGACGAGCCGCTGCCGCCGGAGCCACAGCTCCGGCGCCTCCCGCCTGGCTGGCCAGGGATGCTCAAAGCCGGCGCGTCAGAGGCTCCACAGAGACCCGGGGCAGGGGCGGGCCGCTCTCTACTTCCGGCGCCCGCCGATACGCACTTCCGCTATCTCGCGGGCGAGTCCCGCGCGGCCACCATGTTGGGTGCGGCGCGCAGCCAAGGACCCGGTAGGGCTGGGTAGAGCGCGGGCATCCTGGCCGGGGGGCCGCACTTGCTCTCCGAAGTCATGTCCCGCTCCTCTGCTCTCTGCACGCCCCTTTCCAGCCACACAGGCCCTCTCTTGCCGGCCCAGCACTCTCCTGACTCTAGGCCTTTGCATTTGCCGGTCCCAGTGCCTGCAATGTTCAGAAACCACCTGTCAGAGAGCCGGTCCCTGACCCCCTTGCAGAAAATAGCATCACCCCCTCCCCATCCTCGCAAACACACACCTAACCTAACAAATAACCTTATCCTCTGTTATTTTTCTCCATAACTCTTTGCACTATCTGATCTACTGTACCTTTTTTTTTTTTTCCTGTCCTCCCCAATAAACTGTAAACGCCCTGTACCTAGAAAGCTCCCTGACATGGGCGCTGAATAAATATTTTCTGGGTAAATTAATGTATGGATGATATGCTCTCACCTGTAACCTTTTGCGTTTATAAATCATTTACTAATAAAAATTTGTGGGGAAGAAAGAACTGGATGTGAATACTAGAAGTCAGAAATGAAGTTGAGGCTTCCCTGGTGGCGCAGTGATTGGGAATCCGCCTGCCAACGCAGGGAACACGGGCTCGAGCCCTGGTCCAGGAAGATCCCACATGCCCGCGGAGCAACTAAGTCCGTGCGCCACGAGTGCTGAGCCTGCGCTCTAGAGCCCGCGAGCTGCAACTACTGAAGCCCACATGCCTAGAGCCCGTCCACCGCAATGAGAAGCAGCCCCAGCTCTCCGCAACTAGAGAAAACCCCTGCACAGCAATGGAGACCCAACGCAGCTAAAACTAACTAAATTTATTAAAAAAAAAAAAAAGAAGAAGAAGATGTTGACTGGGCCATGCTCCCACCAAAGACTCAAGGGAAGAATCCTTCCTTGATTTTTTAATATATTTTTAAAATTTATTTATTTTATTTATTTATTTTTGGCTGTGTTGGGTCTTTGTCGCTGTGCACGGGCTTTCTCTAGTTGCGGTGAGCAGGGGCTACTCTCGTTGCGGTGCACAGGCTTATTGCGGTGACTTCTCTTGTTGCAGAGCAGGGGCCCTAGGCACGTGGGCTTCAGTAGTTGTGGCTCATGGGCTTCAGTAGTTGTGGTGCAAGGGCTCAGTAGTTGTGGCTCGCGGGCTGTAGAGCGCAGGCTCAGTAGTTGGGGTGCACAGGCTTAGTTGCTCCTCAGCATGCAGGGTCTTCCCGGACCAGGGCTCGAACCCGCGTACCCTGCGTTGGCAGGCAGATTCTTAACCACTGTGCCACCAGGGAAGCCCTCTTCCTTGATTCTTTTAGGTTGTGGAGGTTGCCAGCAATCCTTGGAATTCCTTGGCTTGTGGCCACATACTCCAAGTTCTGCCTCTGGGGCCATCTTCACTTTTTGCACGTGTGTGTATCCTCTCCTCTCCTCTTTTTTTTTTTTTTTTTTTTTTGGCCACGCCGCTGGGGCTTATGGGATCTTACTTCCCCAACCAGGGACTGAACCCTGGGCCCACAGCAGTTAAAGCACTGAGTCCTAACCACTGGACTGCCAGGGAATTCCCGCTCCTCTTCTTATAAAGACACCAGTCATGATGAATTTAAGATCCACCCTAGGCCAGTATGACCTCATCTTAACTAATGACACCTGCAAAGATCTTGTTTCCAAATAAGGTCACATTCTGAGATTCCAGGTGAACCTGAATCTTTGGGGGACACTATTCAACCCAGTACATCAAGCTTCATATCAGACTCTCCCTGGGCCTCATTTCCCTCCCACCTCACCAGGTTGAGCCAGTTTGTATCCAGAGAACTCTGGTGGCTCCAACTGTGGGCAGACCACCATGGGAACAGGCACAGCTCATGGTTAGGTCAAAGGTTAGGAGCCACTTGAGGCAAACACGTGTTAATGGGGTTTCCACTGTTTTTTGTTTACTATCAAAACCTCAACAATGAAGCCCAACTCTGACTCAGGCAGGCATCTGGGGGTTTCACAGAGGCCCAGGTTCTCCTGACTCCCTGACCCATTCCTTTCCTTCCCCTATAAGCCATAATCAGGTATGTCTCTCATTGTGGCACATGTGTTTATTTTCCCTCCCCCACTAGAACAGGGCATGGCTGCAGCAGACCCTTGATCAACATTTGTCAAATCGATTATTGATGAAATGAGATTATGCAGGTACTGTCCAGCAGAGAGGAGTTATTCAATACACGGAAGCTGTAACCTCTACCACTCTTACTCTTTCTAATGAGGAAGGAGTCTCACATTTCTTGGGCATCCCCAATTCTGAGGAACATTTGAGTTGGAAATCACTGAGTGTGGGGCTGGGGAGTCAGCCCCAGTGCCTCACTGCTCTCACTCTGTCACAAGCCTTTCCAGGTTTCGGTGACACTTCCTCACAGCGTCCACCGAGAAGTGTAGGTGAATGGATAAATGAACTGTAGTCCATCTGAACCGTGGAATAGCAGTCAACACTATAAAGAAATGGGCTATCAAGCCATGAAAAGACATGGAGGAGGGACTTCCCTGGTGGCACAGTGGTAAGAATCTCCCTGCCAACGCAGGGGACACAGGTTCAAGCCCCAGTCCAGGAAGATCCCACATGCTGTGGAGCAACTAAGCCTGTGCGCCACAACTACTGAGCCTGCGCTCTACAGCCCACGAGCCACAACTGCTGAGGCCCGTGTGCCTAGAGCCCATGTTCTGCAGCGAGAAGCCACCGCAATGAGAAGCACGCGTACTGCAACGAAGAGCAGCCCGCGCTCGCTGCAACTAGAGAAAGCCTGCGAGCAGCAACGCAGACCCAACGCAGCCAAAAATAAGTAAATAAATAAATAAAAATTTTAAAATAATAAAAAATAAATTAATTTTTTAAAAAAGACATGGAGGAAACTTAAATGCATATTACTGAGTGAAAGAAGCCAATCTGAAAAAGCTACATACTTTACGATCCCAACTACATGACATTCTGGAAAAGGCAAAAATTATGGAGATAATAAAAAGGTCAGCAGTTGCCAGGACTCAGGGAGACCAGGCCAGGGAGGAATGGGCAGAGCACAGAGTATTTTCAGGGCAGTGAAACTGCTCTGTATGATACTGTAATGGTGGATCCCTGTCCAAACCCGTATAATGTAAACACCAAGGGTGAGCTCCAAGGTAAATTACAGGTGATACCACGTGTCAATGTAGGTTTCATCAGCGGTAACACATGTACCACTCTACTCTGCTCTCAGGCTCTAGTGGGGATGTTGATGGTGGAGGAGGTTATGCAAGCCGGGGATGTATGGGAAATCTCAGTACCTTCCTCTCAATTTTGCTGTGAACCTAAAACTGCTCTAAAAATTAAATTTGATTACCTTTGAAATATGTACATCTGACCTGCTCACTCCTGAAGGCGCTCCCTCCGCCTTTGCCTGTGCTGTTGCCTCTGTCAGGTGGCTCTCAGCCCAACTCTGACTCATTGCTCAACATCCCGTCCACAGAAAACCTTCCCCTCCTCCCGACCAGGTCACTGTTCCATTATTCTCTGTCGCCATTCCTCCAAGTATTTCTTGAAGGCATTTATCCCAGTGGATAATTAAGAGCCATCAGTATGAGTTTTTGGTCCACATCTGTCCTCCCACCAGTCCGGTGCCATCCACTAGAATTTTCTACAAGGTTGAGAATGTTCCTTACCTGTGCTGTCCAATGGGCACTTGAAATGTGACTTGTGCAACTGAAGAACTGAATTCTTAATTGTAATTAACATAAATATAAACAGCCATGTGTGGCTCGTGGCCCCCTAGGGGACAGTGCAGCAAGACGGGAAGCCCTGGGAAGCCCCGGGCAGTCCAGTGGTTAGGGCTCCGCGTTTTTACTGCCGAGGGCCCAGATTGGATCCTAGTTGGAGAACTAAAATCCCACAAGCCATGTGATGCAGTGGGGAAAAAAAAAAAAAAAGACTGGCAGCCCTATGAGGGCAGGGACAATGTCGCAATACTACTGCTGAACCCCCTCCCTCTAGAACTGCGTGGCCGCTTGAAATGTAAGTTGAATGATGAATAAGGTGAATGTGTGAATGAAGGCGCCAACCGTGGCCCTGAATGATCCCGAGTCCCTTGGGTGATTCCAGGCTAGAGGGTGAGTTCCAATCCTGCCACTGGCCCCTCAGCGCTGCCTCACAGCCCCAGGTCCCCCCAAAGAAGATGACCGGCCTGCAACAGTGCCACCACGAGCATCCGAGCATCCTCCCTGTGTCCTCACTGCTGGGATCCAGGAAGACACGTCAGGATGAAGGGAACGACGCAGGGTTCTGAGCCCCCGCACTTACCAAGACTCCCCTCCCCTCAGGGCACCTGTTAGGGTGCAGTTGCCTCCAGGCAGGAGGTGCTTCACAGAGGAGCGACCTTCCAGCGAGAGACGTTTCAGCTGCTTAAGAAGGTGAACCTCAGGCGGTCAGAGCGGCCTCACGGGGGAGCCAGCCACCTGAGAAAGCAAGGAGCCTCCTGGCCCAGGGCTGAGGTGGCTCAGGGTCAGAGTGGAGAAGCCGAAGTTCTGTAAAACAAGAGGACGGTTGTGTTGGGCTGAACCTTGCCTCTCCTGGCCCGTTGCCCTGTTGGGCTTCACAGGTATTAGGGTCAAATTCCAGCTTCCTCACTTACAAGATGGGTAACCTGGGGCCAGCGCACCTGTCCTCCCTGAGCCTCAGTTTCCTAATCTGTAAGATGGGTGCTGAGAGGAAGGCAGCAGGTAATGCAGCACCCTCTGGCTTAGCCCAGATGATCAGCCCAGCTGTGGCCCCGGGAGGAAGGGAGCAGCACCTAAAGGGTCAAGTGTGTGTCTCCTTTCAAAGGAAAAGACTGAGGGAGCACCTGCTCACAGCACCCCTCCAGCTGTTACTGACATTCCCATTTCTCAGATGGGCATGTGGACAGTAACGTGACTTCCCAGGGCCACATAGAAAAGACGCATAGCCCCATCCACCCTCCCATTCATCCCCGGGCCTCTGCCTGAGACATGCACACCCACACTTCCACCTGCCCAAGCGACTGTCGTGTGGCCAGCTCCCGCACCCCTCCCACAGGAAGCCGTCTGAAAAAGCCTCCTGATCAAGAGCCGCGGATGCCCCCATCCCCCCATCAGCCAGGTTTATGGTCCTTTATTACCTTATTTATTGGAAAAAGGCAAAATGATGATTGCTAAAAAAAAAAAAAAAAAATGATGATTGCTTTTTTCCTTTTTTTTTAACCTGTATTTCTTAGGTTTTTTTCAGCTTCACTGAGGTTCTTTGATGAGCTTTGATGTCTATCCACACCTGTGACACCATCACGCATCAACGTGATGAATGTCTCCGTTTTCCCAGACCGACCCTATGTTCTTTACCACACGCAGCCGCTACTCTTTCTTTATCGTTATCACCACTGGTACTTGTACATTCCTATTTATTCTGTCTTGCCCAGTAAGCTGGGCCCCTTGTGAGGGCAGGAAACACACCTGGTTTCTTCTCCACTGCATCCCACAGCGTGGCACAATGCCTAGCACAAATAGCGTGAGGGAGGAAGCGGGGAAGAGAGAAAGGGAGGGAGGGAGAGAGGGGAGTTTCCAGGCTGACAGCTCCTCCAGGGCAGGCTCTGTGTCCAAGAC